TCCAGAGAAGCAGCAACACCAGAGATGGAGGCAGAGACAGGGACATGGAGAGAGGGAGCTGCTAAGGACTACAGATTCATGGGAAGAGAGGGACTAAGAGGGACTGGTGGCCAGGAGGCAGACTTACAGAATGTGCCCTTCGGTGGTGTAAATTATTATATATGCCTGAGTGTTTACAAAAAATGCTAAAGTGAACAGAAACACTGATAACTGATGGTACATGGAAGGGGTTAGAATCATTTTAATGAAACAAGGTATATGATTTGTTGAACGTAAAACTAATGATCTGCCCTGTAAACTTTTACTAAATCCACAATAAAAACCTTAAATTAAAAAAATAAAAACGAGCTTCAGCTTTATTACTGAAACTGAAGCAACTACAATGTCAAATTTAATTTATTCTGAGTGATTAGTACATTGGGTTTTTTTTGTTGTGTGCTCTGACTCAATTCCAGTTCATTAAAGCCCTACAGGACAGAGCAGTAGAAGCCACATAGAGTTTAAGAGTCTGCAATCTTTATGGAAGCTGACTGCCACATCTTCCTCCCACGGAGCAGCAGGTAGACTCAAACTACCACCCTTCCAGTCAGCAGTCAACTGCTTAACCACGGCACCACCAGAACTTCTAATTAAGCACAAAGGCATCTCTATTATTCTATGATTTAATCGTCATGATTATGAGGGGGGAAGAACTATATACGAGTAAGTAAAAAAGGTACTGCTAAAAAAAATACTTTGGAGGACATCTGATGGGTTAGTAAACTGATGGCAGATAGGTCAACTCAGTATGGTGACTGAACAAAAATACAAAAATCTGAAGCTACTGTTTCTTGACAGATCCTTCATTTAGGTCTACACACTACTGAAGACCGTGTTTTCATCTCTCTACCCGTTTCCTGAAGCACTCTGTGCTGTTTCATACCTCGTCAAAATGGCAGCTATGGCTTCCTCCAGGGGCTCAAACTGTGTTCTTTTTACTGTTGAGTTCTGGGAACAAAATGAAGTCTGAATGGGTAATATTAGGGCTGGAGGGTGAATACAGTAAGATTTCACAAGGAAATTCTCTGAGAACAGCCCTCAGTACCTTAAAAGAATGAGCAGGTGCATTGTTGAGATAGAAAAAATTTCCTCAATGTAACTTTCGTCACCAATGCATTTTTCAAATTTTCTTCAAACTTCTTCCTAATAAGCCCATGATTGTCCTGTGTCCATCAAGAAAATAGGGCATTTTTTTTTCTATAGGATTGCCATGAGTCAGAACTGACTCAAAGGTACCTAACAACAACAAGAAGGAAACTAAGACCAGTATATTATGAGAGAACCTGCCTGTAGTCATCCACATATTGCAGAAACATGTTTAAACAACACACTGTTCGGAACATACTCATGCATATATGAACTGCACCCTGAGTACCTACTGCTGTATATGCACTGCTTCATTCATGGGCAGAGACAGAGTGAACAAGATGGTTTCTGCTCTTGATTCAGTAGAGAAACAGAGGAAAAAGCTCTCCATATGCTTACTGAACTGAACATGCAACTTATCGGCATGAAGCACAAAAAACTTTCAAAACTGGCTATAAAAAAGGCTACCAAAAAAACTCATTTACTAACACTTTCAAACTGACATGATAAAATTATTTCTCCATGGCACTGAACGTTTGGTTCATTCAAAACATCTAGGTAAAAAAAAAAAAAAAAAAAAATTAAAAAAATCTAGGTAATATATCCCGTATTGTGACTTTAGGACTGAACACAATTTTTGATAGCGTAGCTAATCTAATCCTTATGAATTTTTATATATACATACACACACAGGAGTACTGGTGTGCCAATGCAGGGTAAGTACTGGATCACAAGGCCATTTTGAACTTCAAGGTTGGCGTCTCAAATTCACCAATCAATTGCTCCTTGGAAACCTTATACAGGGTCACTATGAGTTGGCACTGACTCAGTGACACTTAACAACAACAACAACATATATATATTGAATCCTGGTGTGGCACTGTAAGACTGGCACTGGATTATAAACCACAAAGTTGGTGGTTTATACCCACGAGCTGTTCTTCGGAAATCCTATACAGGGTATCTATGAATCCAACTTGACTTGAAAGCACTTAACAGCAATGGCAGGTGTGTATTATCTGCAAGGTTAGCAGTTCAAATCCTTACGTTACTCCTTAGAATAGAATATGTACACACGGAGTTCTGATGTGGCACTGTGGGTTAATGTGCTAGATTGCAAAGTCGGTTTGAACCATAAGGTTGGTGATTCAAGCTCACCAGCCACTCCTCAGAAACCATATACAGGGTTGCTATAGATCAGAACTGACTCTAAGATACTTAACAACAAGAAGTACATATATATATATATATGTATATCAGACCGTGCAGAGGTTCGAGGCCCTATAGGCCCGAGTGTAACACATCTAGCCACTTGGCAGTTTTTTTTCATCTTAGTGTTCAGTTATATTTATTTAATTCCAAACATGAGCCCTGGATGTCCACAGAGAAATGCAATATTCCCCTAAGTTTCTAAGGTCAAGATTTTCCCCCTAGAACCAAGGCA